CATCCACCGCGGCGCCCTGCAGCCCTCCTGTATATCCGGTCGCCATTGTGGGAACACTAACATTTCGACACTATTGTTATATTTTTTTATTACCGGTCACTACGCGGTCCGTGCGTGTAATGAAGGCGCGCGCTCGGTTCGCCTACTTATAAAACGTCTCCGAGTGACATCGCACTGATAAGCAACTAGCGTTTAGTCCCCTGCGAACACCTCGACTTTATAACCTTAAAATTATTATTTTAAAATTTTTCTCATACTTTCATAGACGATACAGTTATTCAATTTTAGTAAATCAATGGGATGTTGTTATAGAGTTTTCTGTATGCAATAGAGTTGAATTTCGCTTGGCATTATTGTATCTCCTCACGGCTTGTTGTCGCATAATGTGGAAATATTATCAGCAGCCGCCTGCCGCGGCCGGTGTCCGGTTATTACCGGTACGATAGGCCGCGGTTCAATAGGTGACAGATATGACTGTGTTTATGGACAGACCTCTTCAGTCTGCCACTGCTGTACCAAGAAATTATACTTAGATATATTATACAATAATAATACCTGATGTTACAAAGAAAGGAATTTGGAAATTTCACAGTTTGAATTAGAAATTGTTTGTTTTTAATAAGTTCGGTAGTTCGAATTCGGGGTTTTGTTTTGTTTTTTTTAGAATTCAATGATTTATAAGAACATGTTATTTCTTAAAGATTCATTGAAGTTTTAGTTCTTGATAAAAAAAAAACAAAATTATAATATAAATTTAAGCGCCAATAGCCTAATGGTTTGGGGTACGGACTACCGATCGGGGTCGAGGGTTCGAATCCTGCCATTCGATTATTGTCGTGAACCATATCCTCGCACAAGCCTAGAGCTTAGTTGGAATGGTTAAAGGAAATATTAGTAAATTAACAAAAATCTACTAATATTTTCACAAAAAAACTGAACTCTCGGCATAGTACTACATCTCTCGGCGGAACCAGGGGGGAAGTGGGTCATGGTCATCATTTATTTTCTTTTAATAATATTCATAAAATACTTTTCAAAACCTACATGTTCTTATTTTTAAGAATTTGTTTTTGCTCATTGAGAGTGAGTTTAAACTAGTTTAGCGTTATCAATAGGTCTAAAGTGCAATTCACAGACGGTCTTGTTATTAACACATTATTTTAAATATGTTTTTAAGTTAAGCAGTTCTTTAATATTTACAATATGTTAAAACTGAAAGGAAGCTATATATATAAACTTTATTATAACTTGTAAGAAGTGTAGGCGCGTGAGCTTTGTGAAAACTTTAAGAAAATCTTTCAAAATGAATGTTTATTATTAAAGTTTCGGCGTAAGATGGTGAAAGATTATGTTATTTTTGTGAGGATAATCGTTTTGATATTTCTAGACTATGTCACGATTTTATTTAAATATTTCGGTTATCATTTTAAAAATTAAGCAAACGCATACAGTGTTCTCGTATTTCCGAAAGGAGTGTTTTGGCGGCATTGTCCCGCAGTTAGTGTTTTATTTTTTCATATAGAATATATAATGCAAAATTATTCATCATTGCGTTATATTAATTATATTATCGTTTTGAGACGAGCTACGTTATCAGTATACAAGTGTGTTAGTTACTAGTGTGTGTGTCGGCCCCCTGCGGCCGGCGCGGGCGCGCGCACCACTTTTATCCGGTTCTCTTATCACTGAGCGAGTTATAGTCGACTCCGTTCTGCCTTCTTTGTTGAAATATTATGTACTTTACAATTAAAACATATTCATCTCAATACATAAAATGGTTAGCACAGTAATGTTACAAATACTAGATTTAAAGACATTTAGCTTTCGCTCTGACTTCGTCCGCGAGGAATCGAAAAAAGAAAAGTGTGTGTCTATATGTTCTTCCAGACTATCCTCTACATCTATGCCAAATTTAATCTAAAGCCGTACAGCAGTTTAGGCTACAAACTCTAACAAACATCCATTAATCTAAACTTTCGCATTTTTAGTAGTATGATTTAAAATTTGTGTTTTTTTAAAAGGTTAAAATTGTATACTCCTTATAAGACCACGTACAAAGCGATTGTCGACCCCCTGTCACATGAAATAAGGATTTGATAAAAGCGTATGTAGATCGCTATCTCCGCACCCGGAACAGATTAAATAGACGTGAGCGATTACAAAAAAAAAAACAAAATTTATACCTTTCAGGTTTTAACACATTTATCATTTTTGTTTTTATAATAATATAAGGTGGCGAACGTGCACCTACGTAGCAGCTATCTACTTTTCCTTGCTACAGCTCTTTCATATATGAAGAGCCGTAACAAGGAATTAATATTTTACTAGCAACCCGGGCCAGCCTTCGCCGGGTGGCAAAGGACATTCAAAATGCGAAATTTTAGGACATAGGTTAAGAAATACGCTGATTAATGTTTACTAAGCTTATTTGTGATAAAATATAGTGGCATTTAGAGTTTTAATAAGAAAGTAGTTTTAGAATTCGCTTCAGTACTTTCGCAGCTTATGAAAACAATCAAATCTTTCCTGTTTATATTAGTATCGATTCCAAATTGAAGCGCGGATCCAGAATTATTTGAGTCCCTCAGATGGGGGGTTGATTACTACTTTTAGTAAGGTAATGAAAGAGTGGACAAAGAGAGTAACCCAATTGACTGGTCTGATCAGGAAAGAGAGCCCGAGGAAGACCCAAAGCCAGATGAAAAGATATTAAAAAAATAGCTAGGAAAACCTGGAATTGACAAAAGATAGGGACAAATGGAGAAGAATGGAGGAGGCCTATATTCAGCAGGGGTAATGACTGTATTTTGTATTTAAAATGTAAGAGTAAAGATTTTGGATACCCACAGTAAATATTGTTAGTATTCGCAAGTCAGCGCGAAGACGTCACCGCTAGATGCAACTGGTTATCGCTTAGTTCGCGACTCGAGCGAACACAGCTGGATGCACTTCATCAATTACCAGATATACCCGATACAAACTACTGATTGTTACATACTTTTTATCAGGTGATATAATGCGTAGTTGACGAGTAAGAATGCGTTACAAATAAGCTTGTCCATAAACCGAATAGGACTATTATAGCTTTTTGTAAACTACGAAAACCTTTTGAATTATCAAATTCTGATAGTGTAATTAAAACATTTGTCTATACTTATATAAAGAGGAAAGATTTGTATTTTTGTATGTATTGAAAAACCTCAAAAAGTACTGGACAGATTTCAAAAATTCATCACCATTAAAAAGATAAGTTATCACTGATTAACATAGGTTATTTTTAATTCCACGCGAAATCGCTAGCAACAGCCAGTATTAAATACAAGAACGAGAAAAAATATGACTACTTAAGATAATGTAGGTACTATAGTAATAGAGATAGTATCCCGTTTTATTTGCATTGCATTTTTCTATTGCAATTAACCGAAACAGATGAAAGAGATGGTTAAATCCAGAAGGAGATGGATGGATTGCGTCAAAGGTGACATGATCAAAAAGGCAGTGATGACAGATGATGTATGATAGTTATGTGGAGGACATAAACCTGTTTCGCCGACCTTACAGGAGTAGGAAAATAGGAAGATGATGAATTAATATTAGAAACAATAACAATCACGCGTGTAGAGCGTGACTGAAGTGACGTACCCAGACAGGATTATGATGCTTATCTCTTATCAGGTATCATTATCGACTGAACGTACAACATTGTCTGGCGAAAACTTACCAAAATAAACATTGTCGAAAGCGGTTTTATGACAGAAGACAATAAGATCAATGTATTTAGCTGTTGGTTGGGAACACATCTAGGGTTACTACCCTTTGTAAACCAAGGTTGGTAAAGTGCGTTGGTTTATGTAATTGTAATAACCTCAAATCTTTAAACTTTACAGATATGTATAACTTATTTGTACGTAAGTATGTTATGATTAACAGCATGAAAATAATAAATGAATCTCAAAATAAAGAAATCCAGCTAATTTTTTCTACGTAAATTACAACAACGAATGTAATAGGTAATCTAACTAATATTATAAATACGAAACATTGTATGGATAGATAGATGGATGGATGTTTGTTAGGGTTTATAGCCTAACTGCTAAAGGGATATCTGTGAAATTTGGCATAGATATAGAGGGTAGACTGGAAGAACACATATACTACTTATTTTTGTTTTTTTAAAGCTAGCAGCTAGCAGGACTGTAAAGTCTTTTTACGTTAAAATAAATACTAAGGAATTGTAGGTTTTTAGAATGTCTAATGTTTTTAGAAGCCCAATGCTGGCAGGTTTAGTCCTAACGAGGTTTAAATAAAAGAATTCGGTGAACATTTCTTGCTTTTAATATTAATTAAAGATAGAAATAATCACGCGGATACTGCGTGAAAGTGAATATATAGTTATCGAAACAAATCTATATGACAAAGCACAAAAATTGGAATTAAATTAAGAATATAGGTACTAATACTTTAATCTTGTACTTCATGACACGAGATAAGAAACGATCTATGGCTAGATAATATTATCGTAAATATCAGTATTCTTCATTCTAAAGTAAGTAGTTAAAAATTATGCGTGTTTAAATTGCTACATATATACACAAGCGATCCGCTACAGCTTCGCCTGGGCAATAAAATGTAGCCTATGTTACTTACTGATAATGTTGCTTTCTAATAGAGAAAGAATTTTTTAAAATCGGTTTACTAATTTCTCAAAACCTTTTCATAATATTGTTATTATGGTAGACTAGCTTTCGCACGCGACTCTGTACGCGTTATATTAAAAAAGTGAATAGTCAATGTGTTCTTCGCAATTTCATCGCAATCCGTTCAGCCATTTAGGCTTCAAACTATAACATCCATCCATCTAAACTTTCGGATATATAATATTAGTATGATAATTAATTAAGCTTTGAATAACTCCAATGATTAGATATTAACCCGTGAATTAAACCGAGTTTGTTAAAGTCTGGTGGTTATAGAACCAAAACTGAGATACTGATGACAAAGTATGCAACTTCGCTGTCCACCTTCTTTTGTTAAAAAAGTGGAAAAACGTCAATTTTCGGAATTATCGATGGGTTTTCCTATTTCATTACGATTATGAGACTATTTCGAGTTTTTCGTGAAAAAAAAAATATAAAACTTACCATTACTCTCTTCTCAGGGGAATTCTTGCAACTTGTAAAAATGTTCTTTGTGGTTATTAATATTTATTTGTGTTGCTGCACCGACGGCATCTAGCAGACCACTGTGACGTAGTGCTTCCCGCCAAAACATCATGGCGGCATCGATTCGACCACACGCGAACTACGCCAAAATAAAAACTCAGAAATAGCCGGCGCGATTATACCGCAGCGAAATTAAAATAGGAATACGTTGCGTCCGAGTGACGTTTGTAAATCTTTCCCCCCAACAGAGCTCACCTAGCCACGACAGGTTTGGAACAAGCAACCCGCCTTTTGTACGGAATATCGACTTTTTTGTTTTTCTTTACTTGATTGAAATTAACAAAAAACATTTGCAAATAGATTACAAAATTGGTAATTTACTGCTGTCTGGAGACGTTTGGGAAATTAAAGGGTTGGTAAATTCTGATATAAGGTTGTTTTAATTTATATTTCGAGTTCCTGCACATATTTGTCTGTACCCATAGTTAGAAGTTCCTAATATTAAAAAAATAAATATATAAGGATAGATGAGTGTTATTACCCTGCTCGTCTTCCGAAGACCACAGGGTACTAGGGTATTCGTAATATATTTTATATGCAGTTTCCCAGTGTATTTTACTTCCGATAGGGGCACTGCAAGATCCACAGTTCATGATTTAATATGTCCTGGAAATGTGCGGTGTTCCACTTCAGGAAAAATTGCCTTGTTCATTTTAACGGACAAACTCCACATCTTACAAATAACTAATTATATAGCAGTGAATTACGCAAACGATACGAGATACGTTTACAAGCTGCGTTATATTTTTTTTTGTTCCCCGTCTCCATGTTCAAATGGTTGTAGCTGTTAATGTGAAACACCGCCAGTTTCTCAGACAATTTACGTCATCGATTCCGTCTGTGAATTACTTCAATACTAACATTTGGATTTTCAAAGAGGTAGGTTTCTGTTATGAAAAAAAAAACATTGTTTATAGAAGACAATTATTTATTTTAAATCAATTGCAGTTTTAATATTCCAAAAGTAATAACTATATTTGACAGAGGTATTGTACGGTTCTCGATTAATAATACATTGCGATATCTTGGATCACTCTGCGATGGACGTATTGTTTTTGAACACAGATACAAAAATACTTTGTGCACATTTGTATAACTCTTGTAAATCACAATTAACACGATTGAATCTCCTATACCAGTTACAATATAAAAGATCCATTTTTACAGTTCTGCATTTAAAAGACAACATACAAAAAAGTAATCACAGACATATGTTATTACGATGTTAATTTTAAATCGTAGATGATTTTGACAGCTGTCAAAATGGACCTGTTATTTTGTGACGAAAAACCCTAACTGTCACTATAGAGCAATAGTTAAGTACAAAACTTGAGAATGTCTAAAAATCTTTGGGTGTTTTCACTAGAGTGTATGTAACAGGAGAAACATGTGTGATATTAAAAAAAATATTTAAGTACAACTTACAAAATGGTTTACAAAAATTTCGATGTCCGAACACATTCGTCGTATACTTAAGTACGAATAATAAATTGAGCTACAAAATCACACGATTTACTTAATATAGGTAATAAGTAGTCGTGAAGATAATAATAAATAAAAAATAATAATTTGATTAAATTATAACCTAAAAATATAAAATGCAGAAGCAAGAACACAAGGCTAAAAGTAGTAATGGTATATTTAAGTAACAAGCTGAATATAACTCGCAAGAGAACTCACGTCGCTAATTGCTATTCAATTCCACTTACAGTCACTAACCGTTGATAAAATAATTCACAGATCAACTGTCATTGAATAAAACTTGAGGCACAAAGGTGTTGCCATATTATTGTATTTATATAATCATATCAAAGACCTTAAGACCTAATCCAGGAGCTAAAACAAATCAATTTGTGTCTTTAGGAAATTACATAAAAAAAATATGGTTTGTTTTTCCTAAAGGATAACATTTACAATTAGTCGATATAGTCGATATTAAATAACATAACAAAAGAAAAATTAATTTCTATCGAAAATTGCGCCAAGCAAATCCTTCACTAATATATAAATTCTACATAACGCTGTGAAATGCCAAGGAATGGTGGTTTTTTAATCTCGTACCAATATGATCATAATTTAGGTTAGAACCTGGCAAATCGTTTACCGTGACCAATATTCCCATTTGTAAGAAAGAGACGGCGATATACATAATAAGAAGTGGGAAGGAGATGGAATATCGATAATTTATATTTCAATAATTCTGATAAAGGCAAGAATTAAATGTACGGAATACTCCAAGAGAGCCATCTCATAATAAAATATTTACTAATTATAAAATCGTTTTATGTAAAATATCTCTTTTATTCTATGGAAGCAAGTTTAAAGCACTTTTAAAATACACGGCTTGTGTAAATGGTCGTTAAAACATGTAATATAAAGCAGTCTTAAAATTGTATAATTTTCCTACTGAAAGTAAAAAAAAATCTAGATTCAAGTTTAAATTCTCTGTATATACTCTGTGGTTAACTGTTTAACTTTGTGGGTAAGTTATTAACATGGTATTTAAGATTTTGCTTTTTTTAATGGAAAAATATGATTTTAAATATATTTGTAATACACATATACTTTTTAAAATTATTTGATATTTGCATTAATTGTCTGAAATGTATAATTGTGAATGTATTTTTTATAATGCAGTGGCCAGTTTTAATCATTTTATTGAGATTTGGTTTGTAAGTGTTGACCTCATATTTGACCTTAACCCAGATATGTGATTTTTTAATTATGAATTGATCAATTGACATATTTCATCATATTTCCTACATATTTAGTTACCAAATTACCTAATTTTATCTTTTTAATTGATGTCATTTATAACGTCTTTTCATAAATGCCGTTTACACCTAGATACTTTAAAACTGACAGTTTTTATAAAAAAAGTCATGGATTTTGCCTAAAAAATTTTTTTTATTACAAAATTGAAGTTCCGATTTCATCTTTTTCAAAAGAAAACTATTCACATGTACATAAAAGATAAAAAAAAGATAAATTAATCAGAATGGATTTGTATTATGTCTTATCTAAGGTGTGAATAGGTTATGTTTATTAAAAAAAACAGTCAGTTTGAAAGTATGTAGATCCAGTCAGTGTGTGGTATGTCTGCGGGCGAGGGCGGGGTGATGGTACTCCTTGCCGTGCTCCCGTGCTAGTCACGCGTACGTCTCCCTGAAGCGCTTCTGCAGATGATGTGCGGCGTTCAGCAGACGGTGGTGCAGGGTGAGGTGGGGGGTGAAGACGGGCGGGGGAGGGGTGGGAGCGATGGGCAGGGGAGGGAACTTGGGTAAAGTGGCTTCGCTGTCAGGGTGGCAGAAGAAGGCGACGCAGTGACGTCCACGGGCGCGCGCGTAGGCTCCTGAGGGCACGACAACGCGGTGCAGCAGCGCGGGCAACAGGTTGGTGGTCCAGGAGGCGAGTAGCTCCCCAGTCTGTACGAGGATGGCGCCCGGCAGGTGACCCACCGCTTGCCATTTCTCACTACCGTTCAGTTTCACCTGAAACATCGGGAAGTTTCACTGTTTTGGGAGTTTTGTGAGTTTTGAGCTTATATTTTGAGTGTCGGCAGTGGTCGGCTAAATGCGGCTTCAGAGCCACATATGGCTCTTTGGATCCTTAATTGAAGCTCCGACTTAGTCAAACCAAGGAATTAAAAATACATTTTTATAAGTAAATATTCATTAAGTACGATATTTAGTTTTATTTAAACTAAAACCTTTGAACTTTGAACCTTTGAACCTTTCGCATTTATAAGTATGATTGCTAATCATACTAATGTAAGTATGATTAGTAAACTAGTTATCAAACTAATAAAATATAATAAAAGTTCGCGAAACCAGATTTAGCTCTCATTTTATAAAAAAAATGTTATAATGTTGATATTTGGCTCTTTGCCTAAAGTGTGCTGACCATTGGTATAAGGAGACTATTACGTTCGCTATTGCTTACGGGTACATAGAATGTAGGCACATACATATAGACATTGCCAGGCTAGTTCTAGATGAAATGAGAGATAAGATACTTTTTACAGTCTCATTCGAAGTAGTTTTTGTATCTATACAATCTTAAATAGTCTGGGGGAGGAGTAGCTACCCATACCCAAAGAAGACCCATGGTGTACATACAAGTGTAAGTTATTGCGTGTGTTTGCGTATAGTACATAGTTCCAAAGTCTCCGTACCTCAAGACCGCCCTCCGAGTCCTGTGCGAGCAGCGTGAAGGTGCAGCAGTCGGCGTGCGCCCCGCAGCGCGTGTACGTAGCGTGATGCTCGTGACGTGCGTCGTCCTCCGGCGGCACGGGCGGGTAGTACAACAGCCGCATACTGGACGCGTTCCCGCCCTCGCTGCGCAGCATGCCAGCATGGCAACCCAGTAGTGTCGCCGGTGGCAACCCTACATAACCTCAATATTAAACAACTAAGAGACGCACAACTTAGACTGAAATAACGCCCAACTGTTGTGCTATTGTCGATTTTTTCGCCATTTCACCATTCAACTGTTTAGTTGTACGACAAAAAATTGAGTAAGTAACCTTCACTACTGACATCGTCCATGTGAAATAAAAATTGTAAAAAATGTAGCCTATATTACTCAGCGATAATGTAGCATTTTAATGGTAAAAGAATTTTTGAAATCAACCTAGTAGTTTTTAAGTTATTTGAATGCGCAAAAATAAAAATCTTTCCTTTTTTATAATACTACTTGTATAGATAGAATCACAGCGAGTACAGTTGTGCGACAGTTTAGTCAATGGCATTCCGTACTTTTACAAAGATAAAATACAGTGTGCACATATTTAACAAACAGTGATAGCGTAAACTGTAATTACTTCGACTTTGTCTCATCTAATTAAACATTTTTATTGAGTCGTATGACGAAAGTAATAAATCTCTTTTGTAACTATGAAATATTTGCCTTATTTCAAGGGTTTTCAATCTAAAAACGGCTTACTATTATATTCACCATTTTTGTCTGTACTATAAAGATACTAGCTTTCGCCCGCGACTCCGTCCGCGCGGAATAAAAGAAAACAAATGCGTGTAGCCTTTGTGTTCTTCCAGACTATCCTCTACATCTGTGTCAAATTTCATCGAGATCCCTTCAGCCGTTTAGATTACAAACTCTAACAAACATCCATCCATCTATCCAAACTTAAGCATTTATAATATTAGTATGAAGTATGATAAACATAAATTAACAAATCGTTCCACCTATATTATTGTTTTAAATAAGCCAAATTTACCATTAATTATGATAATATTGTTGGAAGAGGTTTAAAGTAAAAAAAAGTGAATGGAAATATACCTGAATTATGAGAATGAATCACAAAATAATTGAGATATAGCGATTTCAAAGCGTTGAAAGCTGAATAATAAGGAGGCAATGAGTCATGTAAATGTTTTGTTCTTATTTACACTTAATTATGTGTTGAAAACAAATAAATATAAGATGACAAATCTCTCGTATTTTCTTATAATCGATGTCGATGTATGTACATTAATCATGTTGACCACAATTAAATATATTTTTTATTGTACAAATTAATTTAAATAAACTTATTTACAACTAGCTGTTCCTCGCGATTTCGTCCTGAATTTAAAAGACAGCCTACGTTACTCACAGATTAATAACCAATATAACAGTGAAAGAATTTTAAAATCGGTCCCGAACTTTCTGAGTTATTTTCAATAAATACAAAAATACAAATCTTTCCTCTTTATAATATTAGTAATAGATGACCGAATAAAATTATCACAATTGTTTCCAAAAAATTTTAAAACATTTAGGGCCTGTCCCACCACTGGCTAATATAGCAGATAGCTTAAAAATCACGTCACTGTCAGATAAAGGAACATAATCCGATAATTCCATGACATTGTACACGTTGGGTTGTTATCAGACAATTTAAATTTGGTGGGACAGGCCCTAAATGTTCCAAGTATTCACTTTAAACGGGGATTTCCCTGTATGACGATGCCACTCGTTAAAAAAAAAACCTTTCCAAACAATCGTTAGATTACGTACGAAATCTCTGATGTACTTGATTAACTATTAGTCACGTTTTTAGATCATAGTAATATTTTAAATATGAAAGTGTAGATGGATGGATGTTTGTTAGAGTATGTAGACTAAACTGCTGAACGAATCTCAATGAAATTTACCATAGATGTAGAGGATAGTCTGGAAGAACACAAAGGATACTTGGTTTTTTAATGCAACGCGGACGGAGTCGCGGGCAAATTTAAAATAAATATGTTAATTATAAAATGATTTACCGAATGCGTAAGCTAGCGCTTGCAGCAGCACACGGGACAGGTTGGTGAGGTCGTGTGCGAGCGGCACCGCGTGCTGCGGGAACTGAGGCACGTCCTCCTGCGCGGGGAACGCCGCCGCGGACAGCGATGTTATGTTGTACGAGTGACGCAATTCCTGTAAACAAACATATATACAAATTACGCATATATAACAATACTTGCCTTCGACCGCGACTCCGATCGATTCTTATATAAAAAAGAGCCCGCGTGTTCTCCCTGACTATGCTCTACATCTATGCCAAATTTCATCCAGATCAGTTTGGTTTAGCCTACAAACTCAAACTCTAACTAACATCCATGCATCTAAACTCTCGTATTTATAACATTAGTAAGAAGATATTTAGGACTACGAATTCTTATTCATGTCTAGACTTGTAGCCAATCTACCACATCTACATGGAAAATCAAATTTTAATCACTAAAAAAATGTTTACAATCTGCTCTGAACTCATTTATTGAAGTCTCTTCAACTAACATACTAGGTAGACCGTATAAAACAATCTAGTATTGTCGACTACAGATACTTTCAAGTATGGTTTTGCGGCTAAGATAGTAAGATACAAATAATTCTGACCAGATCAAATTCAGAACGACGTCTAAAATAAGTAGAAATTAAGATGTACAATTGGCTGATCTTCGGGTTATTCCCAACCGTCACCCTGCTCTGTCCCCATGTCGAGGTAGATAAGAATAAAAAGTTTCATCCCTCCCACCTTTTGCGACGAAGGGACGGTTGGAACTTATTTTATTTCATAACGGTTCCATCTTTTACCTTATTGGTGATGGTGAGTCTCAAAGGTGGGACGGATGAAATTATTCTCACTTGGGGACAGAGCGGGGTGATGGTTGGGAATAATCCAGATCTTCTGTATTTGAAAAGAAACATTTTAAATAGTTGTTACAATGAAGTGCATATTGATGCACTTCGTAATAACATTTAAGTTGCTTAACAATGTCACATATTAATAGTATTGTATTTTATATCGATATTGTATTATAATGTCGTTATACCGATGCAATGTAATTATTATTATTCAATATTCTATTATTTTCATATACTTCCATTGTAACTACACTTAACTTATACAAATATACTAACGCCAGGTTAAAGAATGATGTATCAAACAAAATTTTAGATGTAATACAAAATAGATATTTATTAAACCACGAAATCTTATCAAAATTATGAGTATAAAAAATAAAATCAAATCTTTAAGTTAACATTCTGTAGTCGTTTTATTATTTTTTAAATGCAAACTATATGAACTACTACATTTCACAAGTCACTAACAATTTATCCAAGATTCGGATGGATTATATAGATGTACGTCTCATATCTTTTCTGTAATATCCATACCCTTTCTGTTAATGAAAATTATAATTAAGGTCCTGTCCCACCAAATTGTACAATATGTGATGGAAACATCGGCATTTGTTACATTTCTGACAGTGACGTCATTTTTCAGCTATCTGAACCTCTATCAGCCAGTGGTGGGACAGGCCCTTAATAATGTAACTATATAATAGCGAAACATTGAAATTGATTCAGTACTTTCAAAGCCTACAACGCAAACAATCAAATCTTTCCTCTTTATTAGTGTAGTTTATTTGCTTAATGAGTTTAGTAGATAGTAAATCGAGTAGTTGCAATCTGGGTAAGCTATCGGGACTGGTTCCGTAGGGTGTCAACGCGGTATCAGTGAAACAAGATATGCCTACAGACCAGTTTGTGAAATGCTACAACGTTCTCTGATCAGTTATCTAGAACAAGTGCTGAAACTTGTATCCAGTTCTAATCTATGTTTGTATATACAGGATATCTAAACAATATAGGATATCTAATTGTCAGTTAAATTAGACAGCCGTAATATAATCCTAGATGGCCGTATTTCTTTTTTTTAATATCTCAATTTACAGTTTTTACTTTCAGTTAAAATGGTAAATATTATACATCCTCGTAAAGTTTTGAAAGTAATGAAATTGCCATAAATGAGTCTAATTTATTTTTCTTTGTTAGTCGGATTTGTTGATTGTACTACTAAGTATTAACTTTATACTTTTAGGGCCTGTCCCACCACTGGCAGATAGAGGCTCAGATAGCTTAAAAATGACGTCACTGTCAGATAAGGGAACAAAATCCGATATTTCCATCACATATTTTACATGTTGGATTGTTATCAAACATTTAATAATTTGGTAGGACAGGCTCTAACACTTTTAAAGTGACGGTAATAACTTTAAAACAAATTGAAATTCTCTCTACGTCTTTCCTTTGTTACCTGCTTAGTGGTGTCGAACTGCTCCATCCCGGGTCTCAAATAACCATGGTTGCTGACAGGGTTGCACAGGTACTGAGCCCTGCAGCCCTCGGGCAGCGCGCACAGGTTGTCCAAATCAGCGTACACGGCCTTCAACTGTAATTTACGGATCAAGAATTAACTTCATCCCTTTCCTTCTCTCGGAAAAAAGTGTTTCACAAATTTACTGCTAAAGCATAGTAGAATATTAAGTACTAGCTGTTGTATTTCGTCCTCATAAGATGAAAATAATAATAAAAAACATAGCCTATGTTACTGATAACATAGCTTTTTAATGGTGAAAGAATTTTTAAAATAGATCTAGTAGTTTTTGTTTTATCTCAATACATATTAAAATACAAATCTTTCCTCTTTATAATATTAGTACAGATTACCGTTCACCTGCAATTTCGTCCGCGTGGAATTAAAAAAAGAATCAAAAGTGTCCTCTATACTTAAGCCATATTTCATCAAGATCCATTCAGCAGTTTAGGTTACTCTATCAAACATCAATCCATCTAAACTTTTGCATTAATAGCATTAGTAAGATTTGTAACCCACCTTTTCATCAGCGATACCATGGTTGACGAGCATGGCGAGGCCTTTGCCGCTGAGCGCCGCGAACAGTTGCTGGCCGATGCGACGTACCACAGACTTCATGGGGCATCCATCGGTACCCGCAACTGTGAACAATACATATTTCTATTAAAACTAACTGTTGCTCGCGGCTACGTTCACGCGGAATCCAAAAAAAGTAAAAAAAAGCCTGTGTTATTCGCTGATTATATAGCTTTTTAATGGTGAGAGTTTTTGAAATCCAGTAGTTTTAGAGTTATTTTAATACATACAAAAATACAAGTCTTTCCTATTTATACATTAGTATATATATATATTTATTCAGGCTTTGTTTACCGCAAATTAAGATGAGCGTGACCATGACTCATATACATACTAATTTAAATCTTGACAGTGGTAATTCCAAACCCTGAACAAAATCCCAGAGAAGAAATTATTTTTTTTTATAAAAATTATTAGAAGAGCAGAGTTTAAGTAATAGTAGAATCCATTACTACATAAAATTCGGAGTAAATGATAATAATTCCCCGTTTCCTACATAACGTTATAGCAGCTTTCATACGCTTTAGGAGTAAACATTCCTTTGCTTATTTCAAATGAATTTATCCTTTAAGCACAATTGATAAAGACGTTATTCGAGTGCAGTCTATGCGTTTAGATCTCCAAGTACAAACAGTACAAGTAGATGAATAAAATATGTATTACTTACATATGTATGTATGTACGTTAATCGTTAGCTGAAGGTCTGACCGTGACACGGTTCTGTGACATGTATTTCGCTGCCGGTACCCGCAAGTCATTTCAAAATTGTTGTTTTTTTGCAACGCCTCGCAACCACTACCAAGGCGAATGTTCAGTTCGATATGCATATTTGCTTAGTTGTTGAAGGATTTCCATAAAACACTTAACGTATTATTTTTGGTTAAAAATAGATTCATTATTTATCAAGTCATTTTTAATTTTTTTTGATCGAAATCAAGGTTTGAATTGATTTTATAAATCCGTTTTGCATTTTACTACGCGTTTAAATCAAAACGCTGTAACGACTGCACATACCACTTTGGAACAGAAATAGACGGTTATTTTTGCTTCGAAGGGTTAATACCCTTGCTATAAGGTCTATACAGAAGTAATGATCTGAATCTTAAATCACTAAATGTCACAATCAAAGTTGTATGAACCTCTGAAAAAAGAAACACACTCCATCGTCATCAACTTGCCCTTATCCCTTATGGGGGGTCGGCACAGTATGTGCTGCTCTTTCATACATCTCTATCAGCCGTCATATCTGAATAAACTCCTTTCTTAAGCATATCCTCTTTCACACAATCCATCCATACTTTCTTCGGTCTTCCTCTTCCTTTGTAGCCATCCACATTCATTCTAAACACTTTCTGGTTTATGTCCCCATCGTCTCATCGCATAACATGTTCATACCACGCTAACCTTTTGCTTCTTAATTTCTCCACCACTGGCGCTACTTTCAAACTGCCTGAAAAGAAACACACTCCGAATGTAGGATTTAAACTTTCTATTATTTTTTATTATGCAACTTTTTTTAGATGTTTTCAGAATAACTTTCATGATATCGTTATGTCGAAAGTACATTGAACAATAATGTTGCCGCTCACTTTTGTACGTATCGGTTTCATGAGGTTAAAGGCCTGTAGCGTACAGCCGCGAAAGCGAAACGGACACGAGGCAAAATTTATGAAAAATACGTGAATGCAGTTTACTTCATTTATTTGGTTTAGTAATGTACGTCTAATTGTTGAGTGATACGCTACAAGAAACCATATCCATGTTATCTATGACAATGAGTATGTTTAGTTACAGGAAAAAACGATATATTAACATCTTTTTCAGTACAAAAGACAAACGACTTACACAGTACGTACACTGATCTTTGAATATGTATTGTAAATTTAAATAATAAAAATAAGTATTTAGTTTCGAAAGCAAATAGAAACTCGAAATTGTCGAGTCGATAACAAAGAACCAGTTGTTGCCTTGTAGTTTCTTGTTGCTGACGTCACAGAGCAGCTTGTTAAATAGAAGAATCGCTAAAAACGTCTGATAATTTAAAATGTTTATTTATGAAATCTCGTTCGTTAAGGACATAATTCGCATTAATAACGCTAATTTGAATTCTATTCGTGCGTCGGAGCAAAATATATTAAAACTATAGCAAATGTCTCAATCATTTTTAGCAAACTAATGCGTGCGTTGTATAAACAAAGCATCACCTTTTAAATCCAAGTACAGGAGATAATGGTAATTTTACATTACAACATTCATAGACGCAATAGCATTGGCGCCATAACCTAATAAGGAATTGGACAAGTACATTTTTTGTTCCAAGAAATAAATATTCCAACAGCATAGTACCGCATAGCGCTATGATTGCAATTATGTTTACATTGGATATTGTATTTATACAACTCATGTAATGTATTAACACGCTCACTGCGCAACAGGCCGATATCGACCTGACGCGGTACTTAAGCTGGTGCGGCAGAAGAAAACTATGTCCCTCTCATTAGTGCGAAACGATTATCCCAGGTGTATACATTATGTTTCCATAAAATTATAGCAATAATCTATCCTATAGTTGGTGGGTCTAGAAAGACCTGCCACTCAACAGCGGAAACATCATTAGGGGTGCCTTTTGGCCCGCCATCGCACCAAATGATGAATTAAAATTTTATTTGCGCAATTTAAATATGCTGTTATCTCTTTATTTTCCGATGTTGAGACATATAATGTAAAAAAGAAGACAAAAATATGAAGAACAGACAAATGCTGTACCTATAGTTTTAACTTGTTCGGTAAATCACATAAAAATAATGGTAGCAAATAGCAACAATTTTTTTAGATGTTTATAAGGTACATACTATACCAACTGTTTGATTTAAAACATGAGAATGTAGGTCGGCGATACGCTCCACCATGCGTTCTCAATTTTATTCCTATAATTGGATTTAGGGCGATCGCTCGGTACATTGCATTTAACTCGTGTATCGAGTACTAAACAGTTTCAAGAAATAACTTTAAAGTAACATATTCAAACTTCGAAACAGCAATTGTATTGGAATTTAGCGAGACACGCTACTGCGTTAAAGAAATAATAAAAAAATACTGCAGAATACGGAGAATTGTTCGCTAAAAGTTAATAGTGCATTTATGTGTTGAATTAATCCTTAAAGAATGATTAAGATTAGAACTCTGAGTGTGGCAGTTAATACCGATGGATTACTTTACATTTATGCACTGCGAAGACAGCGCATCACCAATTAGTCAACATCTGGTTATACGGATGTGCTTTGTACTTGGCTAATCATCCAGCGTAGGTCATAGGCCAAGGATAAACGTTCATTGTTCCTAACACGTTTCTCGTCTAAATAATTATGGGTCTAAAATCTATTTTTTTTATTTCTTACAAGTTTTAGTAAATGCTTTTGAATTTGTACTATAGTGTTTCAATCACATATGTGTGTGACTATAACGTAAAATTCACCACAACGAAATCAAATGTTAGCAAACATAACCTACAATATTTAAACATGTCACGTTTACAACAAACGTTCAGTTCGCTGTAAACCGATAACGTATTCACTGAAAACTAAAATATCGTTCTCTAATTATAAACAATTGTATTATTGGAAGAAATATTTCAACATAGAAACCACGCTTGTTGTAACTTTTACGATGAGTTCCGTAAGAACGTAAGAATACGTTGTTATCCCTTTCATTATTTTTGTAAAACAGTACGATTTTGTACAGCAGTAAAGATAGTGGAAAGAGACAAATAGTGTAACCTTGGCTTTTAACATAATCCTCATGTCATTTTTCCGCAAAGAGAGGTTAGTTTTGTCAATGATAACGTGATTCCGCTGCTGATTGTAACGTACGCATTGTATTCGTTAAAAATATATCAAATAAAAATAGGCACGAGGTTACTTCTTATCTTTGGTATTTATTGCCATATTTAGAGCGCCCTTTTTTAATTTTGAAGGTCATTCTTGTGACACATGATTATTTTAAATGGTATCATATAATTACATTGGACGTATGTAATTCAAGAATTGAGAATGGTATTTATGTTTGTCGTTAAGTGTTAAAACTATCTATGCGAATAATGTATATCTATACTTCTATACTATTATAATAAAGCTTAAACACACACTTCTTTGTTGCCTAAGATGTCAGCAATTACAGCATATTTTTTAATAATTATTATTTTAATAAAGAGTCTACACTTACGTCACGCTTAAGGCTATATATTTTCACGCCATTAAACTTAGGGGGTAAATATTTTGGATAAAAACCCTAATGTGGGAAAGAGACCATAAGTCGCTGCCAACATCAAGAAAGCAAGATTGCTAAGGTTTGTCATGTCATGTCATTTTGACATTTGCTATTGATAATTTGACAAATGTAAACAATAAAATAAAATTTACATAATTTCACGTGGATGAAGTCGCACGGGAACAGCTACTTTAATATGAAAGAGAACTTGCCAGGTCAGTGAACGTGTTGCCATCTAACGCAAGATTTGAAACTATTGTAAGTACAATAGCATTTAATAATGCATTGTGCGCAAGTATTAGCAACCTTACACCAGTATCGAATAATGCAGTTATGCAATTAAATAGTTATGTAACAGTTTAAATTAGAATACGTTCGCCGAATCGGTCTCGGGTGATTGCAAACAATTACATTTTTCATGCTAAGCTCGTTATAAGATTGTTACGGAAGCGACTCACTGTAACCTTAATTAACTTTTATACATCAAAAACAGACATGACGTAATAACAATTGTATGATTTTTTTGTTGGCATTTTATTTGTTTGCATTAAAAGAGGTTGCCATAACAAAAACATTCAATGATATTGCTCTGGTGATAGACACAAAAGTTTTTAACCTGTATGACCAGATCTATAGATGTTTGAATGAATTTATTTGAATGGAATATATCTTCTATTCGTTTTTATTATAGTGTGAATCTATGTAACTTTGGTTACAATATTTAAAAAACACAAAAGAATAAATAAACCACAATAATGTTAGCAATAATATTTTATTTTGTATTATTTTTTTGTTTGTG